TCCAGATCGCTTAAGCGATCCCTCACACAGTCCTCCTCGACCAAGGGAAAGTCGTCCTCTCTGTGGGCTTCTTCTCTTACCTCCGGGGCCTGGGATTCCTGAGGGCCTGCCTTGGCACTGAAGGCTGAAGCAAAGAAGGCATTCAGTAGCTCTGCCTTCTTTGCATCCTCCGTCACCAGGACACCCGCCTCATTCAGCAGCGGCCCCACATTGTCCCTAGCCTTCCTTTTGCTGTTGATTTGAAATTGTGTCGGCCACTGAGCAAAAAACTTAAACAGGACAGAGTAACTGAGTTGCGTCAAATATGAGCAAAATGAAAGTAAGTTAAGGATGGGAAAGGAACAGTCACAGTTAATAGTGGTGTTTGTGTGATGATAGCTGTCATTATTAGGGTCAGCGAGCCCCTGTGTATTGAGAATGTTCTGGTACACTGGTTTGTGCATAGAATTACTTACAAACCAGTGGTTCAGCAACTCTCCTGTTTTATTTCGGGTCAGCTGTTCCTTTCCACACATCCTAAAATGTATTAATCTTCTCTACCTTGCCATTCTTAACGAACTGGTAACTTCTGAGGGACACCACAGTAGAAATCTGTGGAAAAGTAAATGGTGTGACAGAGTTGAGTTTTTTTTCTGTGTGTAAAGTGCAGCCTAAAAAAATGTTCTTACAGCAGAAATAGGCAATTGGGTAGTGGAGAAAAGCTTGGATGTAGGTTGGTGTGATAAAAAAACACAAGAGTAATAAAAGAACAAAATTCTGGTAAGACTTATGAATGAAGTCAAGAAGCATCAAGATAGAGCTAGCCTGAGGATATATCTCAAAAATGTGGATAAGCAAGTAATTTTATAACAGGAAGGGAATTGGAGGAAGAAGGCCTGGAGATTGGTTTTGTTAATAAAAACGAGGGGGGAGGGAACTCAAGAAGATTGTAGACTGTCTTTTAAGGGCACTCATTAAACGTTTGGATACACTATAGTTGTGAGGATACAGGAAAGGGAGAACACATGTAAAGTCACACCAAACAAGCAGTTTAAATGACAGGGATGGCATTGGGAGTTGGAAAGAAGAAAGAAAGAAACGTTCAACAAGTGAGACTAATGTTCTTATATTTAGGAAAACCGCAAATAAGAGTAGCAGACCTTTTAGCACTTAACCATTTGTCATTGTACCTCGCAGTAAAGCTTTGGAGCTTGGTTGAATGAGTTTTGATGTAGTTTTGAATATTGGTTTTCCTTTTTCTATTTCAGTAGCACGGTTAGCAGTCTACATGCAAGAGTTGATTCACTAGAGAAATCAAACACTAAACTGATCGAAGAGGTATTATTTTTTATTTAGTAATGTGTAATAGATATTATTTACTCTCAAATACAATTTTTATAAATACACTTACATTATTTTAGCCTACGTGGGTTCTGTATAATATGTTCGGATATCTTTATTTTGGCTTGAAGAAAGGTGCAGTAGCTGCAGGGATTTGAAGTCAGCTTGCCTAGGAAGCCTGCAGCATCAGTAAATGAATTCTATAGAACATTGCAGTTTCCCACTTTGGACAAAACCAGAAGACAAGCCTTTCTTCATGCCAGCTGTCAGTCTGATTTTGTGCAGATGACTAGTCTGTAATGGATGACACCGGTTGCTACAAAGAGACAGAAACTAGTTCACCAAGCAATTTCTGTTGCCGTTCTCAGCTTCAGCCAAAGGATTGTTTCTTACTTATTTACCATACGCTTATATACAGTTTTTAGACTTGTCTAGCACTGGTTTTGTATTTATATCCTATGTTTTGGTTATCTTTGATGCTTGACTAGATTCCAGTATTTTTAGCTATATAAGAGAGAGTGCAATTTTTTTAAATCCGAGATGCCTGAGAAAAAGTTAATGAAGGGGAAAATTTGAAATGCCTCAATTCGGCTGTTGAAGTAATAGCTAGCTCACTCTGAGTATTGATGTATCCAGATAGAGGGAAAACATTTTTTTCAAGTGCAATGCTCAGAGTATTCTAGTTCTTTTACAAGCCTTCAGCCCAGCTGTCCATCTGTTTTGATCAGCTGGCTTATAATTATGACATTAAGGTATATACTGTAGGGCCCAGACATAATATTTTCTCTTTTGTAAATAATGTTTTCTTTCCATCTGGGAGAGGTCGTCTTATGTAAATTGCTCCATATGATGCATTAAAATGTCCAAAAAAGAACAGAACTGTAGATATTTGAATCCAAATTCAAAGAAAAATAAATAGAATGAGGAAAGGGAGTAGAGAGTCTTTAAGTCATATGAAGCAATGAAAAGAAAGTATATTCTTTACTAGACATGAAATAAGTATCTTGAATACGCAGGCTGTTGTGTAATGAAAATGACTCATTAGTAAAACCAGGAGCTTTATGTTTTCTTTAAAAAAGAATTAAACCCCCGTTTGGTAGACTTGCTAGAACAGGGCAGAGAAAGTCTTGTCTTGCATTCATCAGAAAATTTTTTCTTTATTTCCACTCACGAAAGTGGTCACACTGTGGTCATGTTGCTTTTCCTTTTTTTCTTTCTTCCCCCCTCCCCTAGCTAGCGATAGCCAAAAACAATATAATTAAACTTCAGGAAGAAAATCATCAATTAAGGAGTGAAAATACCCTTATTTTGATGAAAACACAGCATCATCTAGAGGTATGTTAGCTGTACTATATTTAACATAGTAACATCATGTGGTTCATTGTCATTTGAATGTTCTTACATTGCAACTTGAAGTAAGCTGGGCCAAATCTAAAACAATTTTTATTTGGGAAAGGACTTGTTAGATCTCGGAAGCTTTATAATGACATAAATATATCAAAATTATAGGAGACTAGGTTGAACCATATGCAAATTGTGTAGCATTTTTCCTTATATTCTTTCTAGCTTTCTTCCCTTCTTCCTTTTTTCTTGAAGCCATAAGCTATATCTAAGAGCATTTAAGTCAATATTATCTGAAAATCACGTCAAAGTGGTGCGTGTTTTAGTTGGCAAACTGTCTATTCTGACCTGTCTCATTATATCAAATATCATTTGGAGTAATTGTGTATATGATTGCTGAACATTTTTAAAGCTGTGATTTGTAGCTCCTTATGTAACTTCCTGTATGGGTTTTACAGGTTAATTGCTAAAAGCTCAGATTAAGCAGGTGTTTGGATTGCTCAGTACTGAAGCAGTTGACTATTAGGTTGACTTACTGAAGGAGGACTGTACCGCAGTACAGATGTTTATTTTGCTAGATTTACTCAATTCTCATTATAAAACCAATGACTACGTAGCACAAACAGCTTTTTCCCAGTTTGTGTTGTACTTGGAGGATGTATTTTTAAGCTTTTTTTTTTCCTCCTAAGTGTTAAATTTATGATTTATGCTATTAAGTGCTAAACATGTGATGAAGAAAGATAGAGTCTCTGTATCCTCGTAGGCAACTAAAGTGGATGTTGAAGCAGAACTTCAGACATACAAACACTCCAGGCAGGGTTTAGATGAAATGTACAATGAAGCACGTAGACAGCTTCGAGAAGAATCACAACTTCGACAAGTAAGTGCTCTTTTTTAGGATTACGCAAACTTCTAGAAAAGATTATGCCTGAGAAGGGTCAGTATGTAAATATTTCTAGTTTTTTCTTTTGCTGAGCTTAGATGCTTTCTTTCATTGACTTTAACTGCCTGAAATAAAGTTTTTTTAACAGAGCAAGCAATACACCAACATTTCTGTGACAATGTTGCTAAAGCATAGTAAAGAAAATGCATTTTCTTTGAGAAATTTTTAGGTAAGTTGTTAGCAATACTGTATGCTCTATATGTATGCTAAATCTTTCTTGTGAAAATAGAAATTCTTTAGTTATATTTTTGTAATTAATACTTAGGCAACTCTATGCAACACTGGCAGTGTAATTTCTTACAATGTGAGTTATCATCTCCCAAAGGTAAAAAAAAAAAGGCATTGGTCATGAAGTGCATGAGAGTGTATTGTTTATGTACTGGATAATTGGCAAAGGTAAAGAGGGGCAGAATTTCTGAAGTGGTGGCATAGGTGGTGCTGCAGCTCTGTTAGGATTAGCTTTTGTCTTTTTCAAGAGAGCAATAAAATGTTGCGTAATGGTTTAAAGATTCTGTGATGTGTTGTGTTTGTGTTTTATAGGAGATGGAGAATGAGCTAGTGGTTCAAGTTAGTATGAAACATGAGATAGAACTTGCCATGAAGTTGCTGGAGAAGGACATCCATGAGAAGCAGGATACCCTCATAGGCCTTCGACAGCAGCTTGATGAAGTTAAAGCAATTAACATGGAAATGTACCAAAAGCTGCAGGTAAAGGAATAGTCTGCTGTTAAACTGATGAAACGACTTTGGCTGGAAGAAGAGAGATGTATTACCATTTTGTTTAGTTAAATACTGGTGTTTCCTTAATTTTTGGTTTCTTTCTACTTCTTGGGTCAGCTTGTTGTTTTGGAATGTTACTAGATGCAAGCATGATTTCACACAAAGCAGTTCTTAAGGCAGTCAGTGGGTTTATAGAAGAAAAGAGCATAAGAATAAGATCATGGCATGATAACATGCTGTGTGGAATACAGAGAGTAATAGTATATCTAGTGATAATGACACTTTTTGGCCTGCGTTGTATAAAAAAACAGGAGAATGTAGGCACGCAGTGAGGAGTTAAAGAGGAGATCTGAACTTTCAAAGTAAGGAAAGGCATTTAGAAAACAAGGTTATGTTAAATGGAAAAAGCTAATTACAGGTTGGTTGATTTGTTTGGTTTTTAATGTGTTAACAAATTAAGAAAACCTATAACAATGCAATGTTTCTTTGGGAGAGTATGGATCTCGGAGACCAAACGTGCAGTTAACATATGACCAAACACTAGGGAACTTTAGCAGTGAATTATTTATGCAGAACATAAATTTGATTTACAGAATAAATTATCAAAACCAGCACATGAAACCAGTCAAATCTGTGGCAGAATGAGAGGGGAAAAAAAGAATAGGATGCTGCAGAGAGATAATTGAGGTGATACACGAAGGATGCTACTTTTCCAGCTGCAACTGTGAGGAAACTGGACCAGAGGAAGAGAAATACAAATAGACCTGGAAAGAAAAATAAGAAGAAAATGTTCTTCAGTATGTTGGGATCTGTAGGGTTTTATTTTTCCATGAAAGCTTTACTTCTGGGGACTGTGGGTAACACTGGTTTCACTTAAAGACATTCAGACCCACTTGATGGGCAGGGTAAAACAACTTAGTCATGCCCAGTCTCTACTGTTTCGGGACCAGTTGATAGTGTTGATCTGTATAGCAAGGATAATGCTCTACCTTTTATTTATATCTTCAAGCTGCAGCTGTAACAGCTCTGCAAGCAATTAAAGTTGTGAAATGTGTTACTAAAATTCTTAAAAGATTTTTAGGTAGTTTGATAATGTTGGAGAACCTTAGGGATTTCCAGAACTAAGCATCTTAGTTCTTTATTGGTAAGGTTCTGATGGGCTACTTAAAAAGACTATCAGTGAATTAAAATTGTCTTGCAAAATTATTAATTAAGAAAGGAAACCATAATGAAAAATGTACACTTACTAAATAGGATTTATGCTTGCAGAGTACAAAACTACAAATTTGCTAGGCATAAAATTTTAGGTACAGTCAACTACGTTTTTTAGATGGGAATGTTTAAACAGAATCAAAACCTGAAGTCATTTTAACATTTTTCCCTTCAGATATTGAAGAAAAAAAAACCATGAGGTAACAATGTAATATGTACCTACTTCAGTTTTAACCTTTTTTGTAACACAGGTTTCTGAAGATGCCATGAAAGAAAAGAATGAAATAATTGGTCGATTAGAGGATAAGACCAATCAAATTAATGCAACCATGAAACAACTAGAACAAAGGTACAGGCCCATCTTTGTTTTGCTTCATTCATTTCTCCATCCCCTTACATTTTACTGCATTCCTACACAGTTGCCACTGAAATGTAACTTTCAACTAGAAATTTAAAAAGAACCTTTCTGAAACTTTAATTAGTGCTTTACTGTTTCATTATATTTTTTTCTTTTTAACAAATATACTTATTTTAAATGCAAACTAATCTTTCATTTTTCTTCCTCCACCATCTTTCTTCTGGTCCTAGGTTTTTGTGCTGATATCGAAAGTTGTTCTTTCAGCTCTTTCAAAATTGGGGTTTATTATTGCCTCTTTTTTTTTTTTTTTTTTTTAAAAACCCAGCTGTATGAAATGCAATAGAAACCAAAACATTAATCTTGCTTATACTTAAGCATGTGCTTAATATAAACATTTAATGCCTTCATGGATCACTGGTGTTTTTGCTGAAGCTCTTAAAATTGTTGTCCATTGCTTTGGAAGTACCATTATTTTCAGTAATGTAATGAGTTTTTACACTGAAAGGTTGAAAAGTGAAAGACTAAAATTCCAGTACGTGAATTTACATTATGGTTAGACTGCATGTGTTACATAATATTAAAATGTGATTCATATATTTTAATTTGTGGCCTATATAAAACATTGATCTTTTTGATTGTAAGATACAACATATCCATAAGCCCTGTCATGTTGATGTTTGACGTCTTTTTTTTCATTTAAATCTGTTTATGAAAAACATGGTTATGTATTAAAAAAAATTAGTGACATGAATATTCTTTTATTGACATCCTTTTTTCCTCTTTTTTCTTTTTCTTTTTATCCTTTATCCCAATTTTTGTTTTTACTATTTTGCTGCCTTCATCTGTCTTTGATTTTTGTCCACTGCATTCATGAAGTGACAAAGATCTGTTAACTCAAACTAGGACTATTGCAATGTCATTCATCAAATGTGTCAGCAATGAAGCTCAGCACCAATATAAACTTGTCAAAGATATATCATTCTGAAAGCTCCTCCAGATCTGTTCTGTTTAAATAATTACGTATATAATACACCTTAAGAATTTTAAAATTACAAATTTAAATATCAAGTGGTATTAGAAATCCTGCACTGTAACTGATCGTAGTTGGGTTCTGTTTTGTGTTTTGAAAGAACATCATCTCCGATCTCACTTTACCCTCTCTTAAAAAAAGAAAAAGTAAATTATTGCACTATTATTAAGCAAATGTAAGCTAGTTTTCTAATGCTATTTAAACACTTCTTAATTGTCAAACAAAGTTTTATTTTAAGAGACTAGCCATCTTTACTTTGACTGTACATTTTTATGACATTTGTTTCTAATCTAGTGATTTTTCATATTCTTTATGGTACTAATAGATTTAAACAGTAGCCCTTCTGACTAGTATTTCCCTTCTTCCCTGCTTATTTGTTTCTCTTTGAGGCTGTATTTGCCCCAGAAGCATGCCCTCTGGGTTTTTTGGTTGTAACTAGCACCGTTTTCTTAACCGCGTGCAGGGGTTTGAGGGAAGGGGAATTGAGTACTATATCAGAACAATATATTTAAAAAAAGAGGGTAATCTCAAAATATATGCTCAGTATGTACAGTGGAAGAATTCCAGGGTTTTAGGGATAAAATAGCTTAAGCACAATTCCATTTTGCTGATGTTACGTGGGGTAAAATATTTTACAGAATCACAGAATCACAGAATGGTTGGGGTTGGAAGGGACCTCTGTGGGTCATCTAGTCCAACCCTCCTGCCGAAGCAGGG